GAGTGGGCAGCTTTCGGGAATTTGGTGTCTGGCACCACGTCGGGCCCACAACACTCGAAAACATCGAGACTGGTTTGATGAAAATGACGAGGAAATTCAGAAGCTGCTAAATGAAAAATGAGAAGTCCATTGGATAGTTACCCTGCAGCATTTAACTCCATCAAAAGTAAAGTGCAAGCAAAGCTCAGAGATGCAGGATTCTTGGCTCAGTAAGAAGGCAGATGAAATTCAGTTTTACACTGATAGAAACAACCCAAAGAGTGTTGTGTGTGTGTGTGTGTGTGTTAATAATTCCCTAATGGCTATTTATGGGCCAAAGACTATGGTGCCTCTCAACTACTCAGTGCTGATGGAGCCACATTGATTAGTAGGCCATGATCCTGGAGAGATGGGCTGAGCACTTCTATGGTGTTCTCAACAGACCATCATCAACCAATGCTGAAGTCATTGATTGCATACCTCAGATTGAAGTCAATTTGAGTCTAGCCGAACTTCCATCTGAAAAAGAGGTTTTGAATGCCGTTGGGCTCCTCCCATGTGGCAAAGCACCTGGTGCTGATCTATTCCAGTTGAGATTTACAAGGCAGGGGGTCCACTGCTCATACAAAAGCTACTGAAATCTTCCAGGTCACATGGCAAGAGGAGGTTATCCCCAGGAGTTCAAGGATGCCTCTATTGTCCATCTCTATAAAGGAAAAGAAAATAGATCATCCTTTGACAATCATAGAGGAGTCTCTCTCTTAGTCATTGCTGGCAAGATCTTGCCAGAGTCCTCCTTAGTAGGCTGATTCTTCACCTAGAAGATGGTCGTCTACTGGAGAGCCAGTATGGCTTCAGAAAGGGCTGAGGAATGGTTGATGTGGTGTTTGCTACCCAACAACTCCAGGAGAAACACGAAGAGCAGAACTGGGGTCTGTACACAATGTTCATTGACCTGACCAAGGCCTTTGATTTTGTCAATTGTGAGAGCTTGTGGAAGATCATGGCAAAATTTGGTTGGAAGTTCATCAGTATTATATACCAGGTCCATGATGGCAATGCTGTGTAGCTTTCCCAGCCACCAATAGAGTGAAACAGGGCTGTGTGCTTCCTCCCAGGCTTTTTAGCATGTTTTCAGCAATATTGTCGGACACCTTCACTGAGGACAAAAATGGCATCAAGGTCAACTATTGCACTGATGGTAAGTCATTTAACTTGAAAAGATGATCAATCAATAAATAAATTACTAAAAAACTGGAAACAAAATGTGTATCAATTGGGGAATGTCTGAACAAATAGTAATACGTAAATGTCATGGGATATTATTACATGCTAAAAACTTACAAAGTCAAAGAAAAATGGAAAGACTTGTATGAGCTGATGACAGTGAAGTAAACTAGGGGACCAATATATACAGTGATAATGACTTTAGGAACATAAATTTTAAAAAGTAACCAAGGAAGCCAAATTTTGATAAATTGTACCATCTCTGGGGTAGTGACATTGGCCAGCTTAGTCCACAATGGGCAATTACTACTCTTCCTGCTCAGGGCTCTATCACTGAATAACTCTGAGAGGCTGGAATTTCTAATACTATGACTCAGGAGCCTCCATTCAGGGTGATTCCCTTCTCTCCCTCCCCATTATCTATCAATCAGCCGATAGTAATTAGCTTTTATAAAGGGATACTTACTGAGAAGATACAGCAAGAAGGTTGTTGTGTTTGTCCTTTGTTCTCCAAGAGGACCATGACATCAGGGAGGTGATAACATGACTTGCAATTGACTTTGATTTGAGTGAGGACTGTGCAAGGTCACCAGCCTCACTTTCTCCTCCAGAGCCATCTGGGTCCAGTGGCCAGATATTCATCAGGACGACTGGAGATGACCCAGCAGCTAGCAGAGTAGTTGCATAATATTACCCCCAAACTGAGGAGTGTGCTCTTTCTTGGGAAGAGGAGACTCAAAGTTAAAAAGCCCCTACAAACTTTGGGCCTTCCCCCCTCCTCAATCATGAGCATATGCTCCCATCTGCACAAATTTAATTCCTGGGAATTGAACTCGATTTTTAAGCTAGAACATCCAGTAGAGAATAGGTCCTTCTAAACATGAGAGTCCTTGGAAGAATCCCCACCAAATCCACTTCACGGAGTGGCATCACAGATGAGCAACTTGCTCCCGGGCTCCATTTGTCAGCTCAGTCAAACAGACTGCTCCTCTGAATTCAGGTATTGCTGCTACTGGCTCCCAAGGCCTCTGCTAGCAATCTGATTTGTTGAGGAGACAGTGAGGGGCTCTTCCAACCTTTTGAAGCTCAAAAAGGTAGTAACCTGGTCGATTCCATTTTCATACGCTCATTCATCTAAGATCTGGAAAGAAGAAATACAACAGAAACAGGGGCCATATACGCAGGGCCCCGTATATGGCCCCATGGCAGGCTGAGGATAAAAGGCTACCCCTTCTCTCTGCTGAGGTCCATCAAAGTTCTTCCTCACTGGAAGCCTGCAGGGGAGAATAAATGGAGATCTTTCACTCGACTCTTGTGTGGGTACCCTCATTTCTGGCTCAATCTCTCCATTATCAGCTCTTCCAGCTCCAACCAACTAGAAGACTTTTCATCATGACCCAAACCAGCTTCCAGAGTTGGATCGGTGGCAGGTAGGGACATGTTCATGGTTTAACCTAACCAGAGAGGCAAATGTGTCCATATTTTAAGCACTGGGCCTTCATTACGTGAGAAAGTCAGAGAAACATGGAAAGACTACTATGAACTGATGCAGAATGAGGTCAGCAGAACCAGAAAAAAAAAACCACAATGATCACCATAATGTAAAAATAGGAAAGAAAATAACCCTAAAAGGAAGCCAACTCTAAAAAAAATTATGGAGATCTATCTTAGTTCCAGAGAACAATGAAACAAACCTTTTTATTTTATTTTTTTTAAGAACATCTAGGGGGTGGGGCACAGTATGGATGTTCAAGGAGGACTAGCACCTCTGGTGTGAAGGCTTGCTGAGCCCTTCTCAGGGCTACTCATCAGCCTTTGGTGTTCCCCCAACTCTCACCTCTGGTTCCAAGAAGCTGTAGCGGGTTCAGCAGCCATACCCCAGTAAAACTGTCTTGGCAGACAGGCTGAACCAGACTGAGGGTAACTGACAGGCCTCAAACCCCTTGGTGAGTTAGGAGGATCTCTACTCTTTGTGGTTTGGGAAGTCTAATTATGTAGTGAAAGAAAAGCACTAAATTCAGAAGTCAAAGGATTTCAATTCAAAGTCCCATCTGACCCCTATTAACACGTGAGTACAAACACAAAGGAACATTAACAGAAAGTAGGTCGGAGTTGGAGTCAGGAGACCTGGGTTCTAGCCGTGCAATCCTTAGCAAGTTACTTCATCTCAGAGTCTCAGTTTCTTCATCTGTAAAATAGGAGTGATAACATCACAAGGCTATGAAAAAAGAGTTTTATACATTCATAAAAGGACTGGGGAAATTGTTATTCTCTGGGTCTCCTATGTAGTTTCCTCCTATGTAGATAAGTATGTTAACCAGGAAATATTTATTAAGCATCCACTATGTGCCAACCACTGGAGATACTAAGACCTCAGATAACAGGTAAACAACCAAGTACAAGCAAGCTGTATGCAGGATAAATTGGAGATAATTAACAGAGGGGAGGGACTAGGAGGTCAGTAGTTGGAATGGAGGAGAGAGAACATTCCAGGCATGGGGGTTGGTGCTGTTGTCTTTCATTCTCAAAGAGGACTGTGATGCCAGGGACATGATGCCATGACTTCTAAGTGAATTGGATCTAAGTGAGGGAGGGCTGTGCGGAGTCACCAGCCTCACTTTCTCTGGAGCCAGGTGGGTCCAGTGGCCAGATGTGGATGGGAAAATGCTCAGAAAGGAGAGATAAGAGTGTCCTATCTATGGAAGGCCAGTGTCGCCTGATCTAAGAGGACATGTAAGGGGTGAGAAGACTAGAAAGGTAGGAGGGGGCTAGGTTACAAGAGTTTTGAATGACACACAGAGGATTTTGTATTTGATTCTGAAGAGTATTTTGTAGGAATGGCATGATCAGACCTTTGATTTAATCATTTTGACAACTGAATAGAGAATGGAAGAGAGTGGGGAGGTCTTTTTTTGTGTGTGTTTTTTTAAAACAATTTTTGTGGGGACAGCTAGATGGTGAAGTGGATAGAGCACTGGCCCTGAAGCCAGGAGTACCTGAGTTCAAATCCGGCTTCAGACACATGACACTTAGTAGCTGTGTGACTCTGTCACTTAACCTCAGTCACCTCACCAAAAAAAAAAAAAAAAAAACCCAATTTTTGTGTGTCATTCTTGGCAAGTCACTTTATCTGAGTCTCAGGTTTTTTGTCTGTAAAATGAGGCTGATAACATTACAAGGCTGTGAAAAAAATGGGTTTTGTAAATTTTAAAGGATTATGGAAATTATTATTCTCTGGGATAATGTGTACAGCATTGTGCAAACTTTAAAGCCGCTTTAGAAATGTCAGTGATGAAGGCGACAATGTAAAATAAAGGGATTGGGCAAGATGATCTCTAGCAGCTCGAAATCGCATTTTAAAAATACGGTTTCTTCATCTGTGAAATGGGTACAGTGATCCTTGACCGGCTTCCCTCACGGGGCCATTGTGAAGAGGACGGGATATGAATGAGGTCTGGTACTATCTCACATCCTGCCTCGCCCTCCCCAGTCCCCGAACCCCAGTCTCAAGGAGGTCCCAGGAGCCCAGGAGCCCAGCTAGGTCACAGACCCCTCTGGCTGCTCTGGTCTCCTCCAGGAACGTGAGCACAAGCGGCTGAGGGACGCCAGTGTCTCCGCATGGTCAGCAGGGGGCGCTGCCGCCTCGGCCCGAGCCGCCTGCTCCTCTCGGTGCTTCTCCCTTTACTAGCTCCTCCCCTGCCCCACTCCCAGGCAAGGACTTCCGGCGAGGGCGGAACGTCAGTGTCGCTAGGTGCGAGGCGCGGGCGGTAGAGCGCGCTGAGCCGCACCGGCGGCTGCGGCAACTTCCGGTCGTAACGGCTGCTGGAGTGAGGTGGTGGTGGCGGCGGCAAGATGGAGACTATCCTGGAGCAGCAGCGGCGCTACCATGAAGAGAAAGAGCGGCTCATGGACGTCATGGCCAAGGAGATGCTCATTAAGAAGTCTACGGTGAGCGGCCGGAGGGAGGGCAACGGGACGAGGCGGGGAGGGAGAGAGAGAAAAAAAAAAGCGGTCACATCCGGGATCCTGCCCCTCCCCCGGCCCCAGGGATCCCCGGCTCCCGTGTCCCAGGGCCCAACCTCCGCTTCTGGGGGCGCGCTTCCAGCCTGGCGGGCCCGGCTGCCCTGCGGGACTGTCCCGCTGCAGTCCGGGGGTTGGGGGGTGGGGGTCCCCGGCAGGTTGAGGCTGACCGGGTCCGTGTCTCTTCCCCCTTCAGCTCCGGGACCAGATCAACTCGGACCATCGCACTCGGGCTATGCAGGACGTGAGTTCTGGGGCGGGGAGGGTCCGAATGCGGTTGGAGTGTAAGCCCCTGGAGGGCAGGCACCGACCGTAGCGTCTGTTTGTATCCCCAGTTTCTCTCTGAGTCCTTCCCCGTGGGACTGTGAGTTCCTCCAGAGCAGTGACTCTTCTGTTTTTTGTCGTTATCAATGTCTTTCGTGCTTAGGCCAGGGCCTGTCAGCTCTGAGGCTGGAACATTAGTAACGGTTTATTGACTGATATAGTGAGCGCTTAATTAATGCTTGCTTGGCTTTCCAAGAAGGGCAGCAGAGGTACCGGGCCATCGGTGGTCAGTTTGCCAGAATTTAACCGTTTCCTGTGGGCCCGGCACTGTGCTAAGCACTGGGAATACAAAGAAGGGCAGAAGAACAAACAGGCCCTGCTCTCAAGGCCGGCACAATCCAGTGGAAGGTGGGATTAATCACTTTATTCATTTCACCGAAATAACCATTACCCACCTATTCTGTGCCAACACGCAGTGTTCATTTTTGAAGTTAGCTACCAGAGAAGGAAGAGATTAGAGTCTCAGAAGAATTAGATCTGAGAAAACATGGAGTCTAGCCCACACCTGACCATGCTTTTGGACTATCTAGGTCCCTCATGGAGTACCTTTTCCACAACACATAGACAAGGGATCCGTATCCTGGATTTGAATCCCAGCTCTGCCTGGGATCAGGAAGACCTAAGTTCAGATACTTCCTATCTGTGCGACCCTGGGCAAGTCGTTTCATCTGTCTGCCTCGGTTTCCTCATCTATAAAATGGGGATAATTTTAGCACCTACCTCCCAGGGTTATTGGGAGGTAAAAATGGGATGGTGTTTGTAAAGAGCTTCGCAAACCTTAAAGTGATATATAAATGCTAGCGATTAGTAGTAGTAGTAGTTTTATGACCTCAAGCAAGATATTTCACTATCTAATCATAATAATATCTTCACTGTCTGCTGAAGTCTTGGTGCCCCTTAGAGGACTGAAGAATCTTTGTTGGATATCCAGTTGTGTGGTGACAGAAATTGCTCTATTTGATGAAGTGTTTTTTTATTTGTTTTTTTTTTGTTTTGTTTTGTGTTTTTTTGCCTTTTAGAGGTATATGGAAGTCAGTGGGAACCTGAGAGATTTGTATGATGACAAGGATGGGTAAGTGGCAGTGCTGGGCCATGTATGGGGGCTTCATAGTGTCAATCAAATTACTGACCCTGGTCTCTTGTTTTCTCTTTTGGTCCTTTTGGGAATTTCAGGTTAAGAAAGGAGGAGCTCAGTGCTATTTCAGGACCAAATGAATTTGCAGAATTCTATAATAGACTTAAACAGATAAAAGAATTCCACCGGAAGCACCCAAATGAGGTAAGCCCTAAGAGTTGTTGATGAAATGTGGCATATACTTTCAGAGTGAGCGGAGGGATAGTTACTACAAGAAGAGGCAGCAGAGAGGAGGAATATTACGGCTCTTTGGTTTGTTTTTACTCATCAGTTACCTGATCTGCACCTTAGAGTTGTTTTGATGACCTATAACAACTGAGCAAGGGGCAGTATATTTATCATTGAAAGACAGTATAAGAGACTTTGGCAGCTATTGTCTCCATCTTTCCTAGTTTGCTGTATTAACATTTTTTCCTGTAATTTTATTATGTATGAATATAGAGATTATCTTTATTATTGTTATTATAGTATGACAAATAAACATTTTGGTATAGTGCCACAATAGAGTGCTGGACTTGACCGTGAGGAAGACTTGGGTTCAAATCCTGCCTCTGATACGTAACTAGCTATTTGACTATGGGCGAGTAGTTTATCCTCATTTTCTCTTTCTGTAAAATAGAGATAATAATACCTGTAGTACCTACCTCCCAGGGTTGTTACAATGTATGGAAAATACTTTGCAAGCTTTAAAGGATTATGTGAATGTTCATTATCATTATTATTATTACTGTTATGGTGTGTAGTTGATCACAGTTTGAGTGTCCATTATATGCATGTACTAAAGAAGAAACAAAAGAAGTCTGAGACTTGGTCTTTGCCCTGAAAGAGCTGACTACCCCAGCGGAGAGACATATTTAAGTACCAGACAGGAGACAGCCATGGTTTACTGAGCAGTGCTGACTTGGGCTCAGGACTATTTCCCCTATACCCAGGAGAATTGGGTTTTAATTCATTTCTGGCACTAACAATCTCTGTGGCTTTGAGCAAATTACAACTTCATGTTTCTGGGGCTCAATTTTGGGGTCTGATTTTGGGGTTGGGTTGGATGACCGCGAAGATCTGTCCAGTTCTGACCTGGCATGATTTTGAGGATACAGGCAGTGAGTACTATAGACATTTAAAGGCAAGAAAGCTCAGGGGGTGGAGGAAGAGGAAAGCTTTTTCAAGAATGAGGACCTGAATTTGGCCTTTAAGGATGGTTCGATAGAGATTCATGGGAAGGGAATTCCAGGGTAAGGGAGCACTGTGAGAAAAGGTGCAGAAGTGAGAATAAACAAGATATGTTTGAAGAACAGTGAGTAACCAACCTTGAGTGAAAGGTCATGTTGTATTAGCAGGAGAGGAGGAAAGGGAGTGTGAGGTCAGACTATAGAGCTTTGAATTTCAGGTTCAGGGGTGTAGGAAGTGGAAAAGATCAAAGGCTTTTGAGGAAGGTCATTATGTGAAAGTAACAGAAATTAGAAAAGGTAATCTGCCAGCGGTATACAGGCTGAATTGGCTGCAGGGACCAATGAGGCAGTTAAAATCATCCAGGTATAAGGTGATAAGGACTTGGACTAAGTTGGTGCCAGTGGGGATGAAAAGCCAGGGAGATGCTGAAGGTGAAAAGTCAAGTGAAGATGCCTGCATTGAGGGGGAATGTGGGCACAGTAGCTAAGGAAGCACATCTGCCAGTATAAGGCTGTACTTTACCATTCTGGGTTGTCACCTGTCTTCTGGTCATGAACAGATGGACAGAAAAGTAATTATTGAGCACTTGCTTTGTGCCAAACACTGCGCTAAGTGTTGGGATACAAAAAGAAAAGCAAGCAAGGAAAATCAAGAGTTGTCAGGGAGTCACGTTTCTGATTAGGGGAGAAAACACAGATGTGTTAAAGGCTTTAGCAGTCCTTAGTATGCAGCTACAGGCCAGGCCCAGGGTCCTTAGATTGAATTGTTTGGTCAGATGTCAGTGCCCGGAGGGTTTGGAAGACAGTGTAAGGCCTGGTGAGGATAGGAATAAGAGGGAAGGCTTGAGTATCCCTCCAGCACCTTGCTATGATGTATTAGAGTCAACGACAATGCTGGAAGCCATGCTGCATAGAGAGCCCAGTTCAGGACACAGAGCCCTACATATGAGACAGTGTTGCTTCTGTTCAGAAGAAGTGGAGGATCCAAGGGGCAGCTAGGTGGCGCAGTGGATAGAGCACTGGCCCTGGAGTCAGGAGGACCTGAGTTTAAAAAACACGTGACACTTACTAGCTGTGTGACCCTGGGCAAGTCGCTTCACCCCAATTGCCTAAAAAAAAAAAAAAAGAAAGAAAAAAGAAATAGAGGATCCATCTGGGCTTTGTGCTTTCTCTTCTCAGATTTGTGTGCCAATGTCAGTGGAATTTGAGGAGCTCCTGAAAGCCAGAGAAAATCCTAGTGAAGAGGCACAAAGTAAGTGGGGTTTCACATTTCATATTAGCAAAAATATAGCAATTGTTCGGCCAGTTTTTGTGTAATTGCAGCTGTCTTCCCCCCTCTGGAAAATAGAGTCTCCCAGAGAAGATGTATGTTAGTTCCCTCAGGCTATTTAGTGAGTTGAAATCTTGGCTTGGTTCCTTGCTGAGGGGGACGTCACTTAGGAAGCAATTGGCCTCAGTTTCTATAATCACTTGAATCAAATGAGGACTCTGGAGTTGGAAGTAGCTTCCTGGGACCTTTTCTTCCAGAGTTCACTTAGCTTCAGCGGCTTGGAAAGCTTCTCAGCATGTTGTGGTCAGCTTACCTCAGAAGCAGCAGGGGACAGCTTTGTGAATGGACCTTACTGTCTAGTGAAGAAGCAGACAGGCTAAATGAATAGGCTGACCAGAGGGGTTTTGTGTAAGGGACTGTTTTTAATTTATTTGGGGCAAATGTTCTCTGATTCCCTCAGACTTGGTGGAATTCACAGATGAAGAAGGATATGGCCGTTACCTGGATCTTCACGACTGCTACCTTAAGTACATTAACTTGAAAGCATCTGAGGTAAGATATTAGAGAGAGATCTTGATTCACAAAAGTGGATCAGGGAGGTTGGGCTGGGGATACTGACTCTGAAACAGGTGGTGTTTCACTTCCTGCTAGATTGGAAATGTGAAGTGCACTGTTTGAATGAGCCTTCACTTGAAAAATGAAAACACAATAGATAGTATGTGCCCATTATTTACAAGACAATGTGCCCTGTGCAGTGGGGACTACAGTGATGTGTAAAGCATGAAGGAAAATGCTTTTATTAGCGCTTTCTATGTGCTAAAACACTACTAAGAGCTGAGACTATAAATAGAAAAGTGAGATAGTCCCCATTCTCAAGGGGCATTCATCCTGATGGGGGAGACAACACATATAGAGAAGTGGTCACCAGAGGAGGTCAAATGGCAGTGTTAGTTGAAGAAATCAGAGGGATGGTGAGTGGAACCATAGAGGAGGTGATTGATTGACATGCCTTTTTCAGTAGCAATGGCAGTATAGATTTGATTATGATTCCTAGAGGAAGAGATGGAAAGGGGGAGTAGAGTACGTGTTCATAGGCAGGCTAGATGGAAGGGAGATGAAGGTCATGACTGAGAAGCTTGGCTTGGTTAGCTCGGTGTGGGGGGCCATCTAACCCTGTGCATTTGTGCCCATACACTTACCAATCACAAGCCCCAAAGTAGGAAGGGCAAAGCTGAATGGCTTAAATCCCCCAGGGCAAGGTATCTGGAAGTGTGGTGGTCCCCAGGGTACAGCAGTAGGATGGAAGACAAGAAGATGGCTAGGGTAGAAGCATGGACCCTACCTTTAAGGAGTTCACAGTATAGTTGGTAGAAACATGAGTTCAAATCAACTAATGTTTACAAAATACCTTCTGTGTAAATGTCACTGACATAGGTACTGAGAATTTTTAACTGCAAAAACAATTGACAAGTAATAACTCCCAAGTGAAGAACATAAACATTAAGTAAGATCAGAATTGAGAAGAAACTTAAATCAAGTTTCCAGGTTAATTTACTCTGTCTGGAGCGTCCCACTGCCAGGAGGAAATCTCGTTGTAATTTTATAATTTTTTTGTCACTGTGTCTGCTTCTCTTCTAAATATCCAGACTAAGACATCACCTACCAAAGTAGTGCAGGGTTTGAATATTGGAAAAATTGCACATGAAGAAAAGACTCCAAGTTGTACCTTGTTACATTGAGTTCTCAAATTGGATCTTGCGTAGAATTGATTAGACTGTGTCTTTGAATTCTGCACACCCAGCTTAGTCAAGCCTCCTGTGTTATTTTCAGAAACTGGATTATATCACATACCTGTCTATCTTTGACCAGTTATTTGATATTCCCAAGGAAAGGAAGAATGCAGAGTACAAGAGGTGAGCATTGTCAAACTTCTTGGCTTGTTTTTTTAAATTAGAAGCTAAATTCTAACCTTGGCTGTTCTCTGAGCACTCTAGAGTTATTGGGGAATGTGGAACTCTAAAAAGCCAGTTTTAGAACATTTATACTCTACCAGTCTTGGCAGAGTGAATATACTTTAAAATTATTATGAACTTGACAAACACGAATACTTCTGTATAGAAAGAACAGGGAGAAACAGAATTTTATATGAAACTGTGAAACTCATGTACAGCTTGGTTTTTGCAGAGTATGTGTTAAATTTAACATGTGTTAAATTTAAATACTGCCTTGCTTGTCTTTGTCCCCTTGTGAACTTAGTGTTCTTTACCATGCATTTTTAACATATTTCTTGATGGACCTTTCTTTTCTTTTTAATCACGATCTCTCTTCTTCTTCCCCTTCTCCCAGATAAAAGCCTTTTATTGTAATAAATATGTACAGTTAAGAAAAATAGATCCATACGTTGGCTATGTCTGCAACTGTCTCGTCTGCACCTCTAGTTCATCCAGTCTGCCGAGAGGTGGGCTTCATCATCCTTCTTGCAGGGTGTTTTCCTTTACAGTGTTGTAGTCATTGTATTAATTATTCTCCCAGCTCTGCTCACTTAAGTCTGCATCAGTTGAAAGGAGTCTCAGGTTTTTCTGAATCTGTCCCTTTTGTCATTTCTTATGGTACAATAATAGAAGGAATATGATTTTTCATCTTCAGCCCAACCTGCTGCTTCATTACCGTCCCCCATAAGCCGTATAAGGCTCTCATGCTTAGGGCTTTGTGTCTTTGGGGCTGTGGCTGCAGTGACGAAACCAGGCCTGTGCTTGGAGGGGAAACAAGACTTATTTTGCTTTGCCACCTCCATCACAGCACCCCTAACTTTCTCTGACTGAGTCTCTCTCTCCCCCTCCTCCTCTCTCTCTCTCTCTCTCTCTCTCTCTCTCTCAGGTACCTGGAGATGTTGCTCGAGTACCTCCAGGACTACACAGACAGGGTAAAGCCCCTACAAGACCAGAATGAACTGTTTGGGAAGATTCAGAATGAATTTGAGAAGAAGTGGGACAACGGTACCTTCCCAGGCTGGCCGGTGAGCTGGAGGGGCTCTTTCAGGAAACTTAATCATGAGTCTTGCCCTTTGCATTTTAGTAAAGGATATAATAAATGGTCCTTTCACACTCAGTTGTGACCCAGAAGCATTCTCTGCCCTGTAGTTTTATGGAATCTGGTTTTCTTTTTATGTTTTCTTTTGGAGGTTATTCCTAAGACTTGCATATGTGAAAGTAGGAGGGATCTGGTGCCCTAGAGCTGACTATTGATAAAATTCCTTGTTTTCTTTCTTGGCAGAAAGAGACAAGCAGTGCACTGACACACGCTGGAGCCCATCTTGACCTCTCTGCATTTTCCTCCTGGGAGGTATGTTTTCTGTAATTCTCCAGTCTGTCTCACAGACTAACCAGCTACTCTTGTTTGTTTGTTCGTAACACATTCTTTTCTTTGCAATTAAAAAAAAAACCCACAGTTTTCTAGAACTGGGCATCTGTATAAGATAAGGAAAAATCAAATGGGATAATGTGTTTCTATACATTTGAATAATTGTAAAGTGCCATATGCACATGTGGTACTATGATTATTAACTTTACTGTTGCTTTACCACGATATGGAGATCACCCTGGGATCTCAAGTTCAAGCAAGTCCTACCAGTCTGGAAGGGCTTCACATGCTGGATGAACATAGGACCGTGTATATGACATTTGAGGATTAACTTGGTTAAGTGCAGCAAGATTCCTCAACAGAAAGTTGGCCACAAGCCGATGAATTTTTTCAGCCATAGCAACATGTGAAGTCATTTACTAAAATGTAGAGGAGTTAACCAACCTTCACTAGTACCCAGTTCTAGCAGGATAGCATTTGGAGCATTTGGTCTCAGGAGTCATTTTCTTCAGCATCCTAACTTATTCCTCTGTTTTATAGGAGTTGGCCTCTTTGGGTCTGGACAGACTGAAATCTGCACTCTTGGCTTTAGGACTGAAATGTGGCGGGTAAGAGGCGGAGACTATAGTCTTAGCTGCCCAGTATTCCCTTTTTCTACTTGTCCATCAAAGGAGCTTAAGCTCCATTTGTCTGACTCCTGTAATACTAGCCAAGTGCAGGTGAGACTACCTGGTGTGATAACAGGGAACCCTTTGTCCCCTTGTCTTTACAGTACGCTGGAAGAGCGGGCCCAGAGGCTATTCAGCACTAAAGGCAAGTCCCTGGAATCACTCGACTCCTCTCTGTTTGCTAAGAATCCCAAATCAAAGGGAACCAAGAGGTGAGTGACCTGGTAGCTTCTGTGTCCCCTTGTACAGTTAGTTCTGTCTTGGTCCTTTCCCCTGGCAGGCGGCACGGTGTGTTCAGAGAAGCATTAGACTCCCCTCTGAGTCTCAAACTCTTCACGTGTAAATTAGGGATAATAGTACTTGGGTATTCGACCCCTAAAGACTCACATCAAAGTGTTTTACCAATGAGTTGCGCCTATTATTGTTTAAAAGGTAGATTTTGAAGCCTGTGTTTTGCCATCACTGATCCATAGTGATGACCAGTTTGAGTATCTGCACTATTGGAGGAAAGTTGTATTAATATTCCCAAACAAATAAATTTACACTTGTTTAATTTAGAGTTGACTCTAGCCTATGCTATAGAAATGTTACCTCAATTAGATAGAAACATAAGTAGATTGAATTTAGCAAGCATTTACTAAACATAAACTTGAAGCAAGGCACTTGGGGTAAAAGACAAAACAAAACCCCTTCTGCCCTCCACAAGTTTAGTCTCTGCTAGATGAGCATAACACAGTCAAGAGGTGTGGGGCAAAAGAGAGCTCTCACAAAGTGCTCTTAAGAGAATTTGAGGAGTGAGAGACCTGTGAAAGAGAGAGAGATAGCATTGAGAGCTAGAGGAGAGGCTTCACCTTAGCTGAGCCTGGAAGAAAGAGAAGGTGTCTGAGAAACATTGAGGAGGAAGAGAAGGAGAAAGAGGTGCATTTCTTATGTTGAGGATTGCTTGTCTCAATGCATGCTGGCTAGATTTGTCATGGTGATTTAGGAAATTCAACTTTATTTTACAGTCTAGTGTGGTGGTAACATAGATTGTGTTAAGGTATGTAATGTAAGATAAGCTGGAAAGGCAGGTTGGAGCCATATTAAAGTTCTAATTAAAGAATTTGTGTCTTATCCTAGTGGTAATAGGAAGCCACCAAAGGTTTCTAAGCACTGAAGTCCAAGTGGCTGTGTATATGAAAAGAAAGTTGGGAAGAGGTATTATGAAGTTAGTAACAGGATTTAGAAACTTTAGATATGGGGGAGGGGGAGAAAAGAAGGGGAAAGATCAGAGATGACTCCGTTTTGGTCTGTTCAGTGGTGATAGGCTAGTACCCCAGTACTCTGATGTTCTCTGTCAGTGGCATAAAGTGTAGTCATTGCCTCTGTGACATTATTTTCAAATTTCTAGAAGATTGTATACTCTTGTTTTATCAACCCATTATGGGTTTAGGTGGTTATGGCTTTTAAGATTTTTAAAAATTGCTTCTCTAAAAGAAATGTTCACTTACAGGGAGTGAGGTGCTAAGTGGTTCTTAGGATTGGGGGATTGAGTTGAATTATAGAGAACCCCCATTATATCATATTTCAGTCCTCTTCAAATGACCTGGATTACTTCTTGTTCACAGGGACACTGAGAGGAATAAAGACATTGCTTTCCTTGAAGCCCAGATCTATGAGTATGTAGAGATTCTCGGGGTGAGTATGTAACTCTGAAGGTAATGTAACCACACAACATCATCCACTGAAAGGCCACCCACTCATATCTCTGTTTTCGCTTAGACAATTAAATTTTAAAAAAGGATTATTGATGTCAAAAGGTTGTTCTCTTTAGACAACTTCAAGTTCTCCACACTGGTCTTGGGCACAGCCCAAGTTGCCAGTCTTCCCAAGCATAACTGGATGCCAAATCTGTCTCTAGTTTTTGATTTTAGGAAATCATCTGCATCCCTCTACACTTTTGAGAGCATGCTGTATTTATATTCAAGAGGTGTTTTGGGGATTTGAGACCATTTGATTTCTGGAACAAGTTCTAGTCTTTGGAAGAACGAGGTTTCTTCACCTTTGGCTAAGACAGTTTGATCCCTACAGTAAAGGATTTTAAGTGAATGACTATAATTTTGGGCTTTTTTGTCCCAGATCAGGAGATACATTCAGACAGGAAGCTCTGAAACTATTCGGATCAGATAAGTCCAGTAAGTCATCTCTGCTTTTTAAAAACCTGTAATCCTTGTCCTATCAGAAAATAAAATTGCAGGTGCTACAGCCCATTTGAAGAGGTGTTCCTGATTCCATGTCCCTGGACATAATGGTTTCAAGGATTTTGGGCAAATCGAGAGAGGTTCCCCTCAATAATAACGATTATAAAAGCTAGCATTTATATAGCGCTTTAAGGTTTGTAAAACACTTTATACTTTATCTCATTTGATCTTCACAATAACCTTGTGAAGATAAGTGCTGTTAGTTTCCCCAGACTGAAGCTGAGGTTAAGTGACTTGCCCCAGGGTCACATAGCAGATATCTGAGGGAGATTTGAACTTGGGGCTTCCTGACTCCAGGCCCTGAACTTGTAACCACTATACCACCTAGATACCTTATTAAAAATGTATTTATCTTTTTATTTTTTGTTATATTGAACTTGAAAAACATCAACAAACATAAACATTTCCATATGTAGAGAACAGAAAAACAACTGTATATAAATCTTATGTATACCTTTAATTTTTTGAAAATTTATAATAAATTCATCTTGTTACTTTCAAAGCTGTCCTGCTTCTATGTTTTTCTCTTCTTCCCTCCTTTGCTTATTAAAATACTTCAGTGAAGCTTTCTTCATCCCTTTTTGGGGCATCACTATTTTTAGCTCCCTCTCCTTCAGTGTTTTCCCCCCATTAAAAAAATATAAACCTAACTCTTTTAACAAGCATAGCCAAGCAAAATTGATCCACACATTGGCTGTGTCTGAAAATGTTATTTCTTACTCTGTAACTTTGGTCTGTCTTCCATATCAGGTGGTAGGTAGCATGTTTCATTGTTTAGTCCTTTGGAGTTGTGGTTGGTTTTTGCATTGATCAGAGTTTTCTTTAAGTCTTTCAAAGTAGTTTTCCCCCCCAAAGTTGTAGTTATTATATGAACTGTTCTGGTTCTATTTACTCCACTCTGCATCCGTATATACAAGTATTCCCGCATTTCTCTGGATCCATCTCTTGTCATCTCTTATTGCACAGTAATGTTTTATTATATTTATATACCATAATTTATTTAGGTATTCTCCATTTGCTGGGCAACTACACACACACACACCCCTCCCCCCCCACCTTAGTTTCCAGTTCTTGGCTATAACAAAAAGTGCTCCTGTGAATATTTTTATACATAGAGATTCTTTTCCTCTCTTTTGGGTATATTCCTATTATTGGTATAATAGGTTCAGAGAGGATGCCCTGTTTTGTTGGGGTATAGCTCCAAATGGTGTCCCAAAAGTACTGGATCACTTCACGGTTCCACCCATAGTGCCTCAGCAACTATCTTTGTCCTCCCACATTGGGCTGCACTTCTCCTGCCTGTTTATTAATTAGCTTATCTTCTGGGTCCTTTAGGAACAGCGACATCTCACTCATGAAAATGTGCAGCGCAAACAGGCACGGACAGGGGAGGAAAGAGAGGAGGAAGAGGAAGAGCAAATAAGTGAGAGTGAAAGTGAAGATGAAGAGAATGAGATTATCTACAACCCCAAAAACCTGCCCCTGGGTTGGGATGGCAAAGTGAGTGCTTGTACCCTATTCCGACAGCCTGTTTAGCCCTTCCTGTCTTCACACTTCAGGGTCTTACTGTGTCCTGTGTCTCATTTCTTCCAGCCCATTCCGTACTGGCTGTATAAGCTGCACGGCCTCAATATAAACTATAACTGTGAGATCTGTGGCAACTACACCTATCGAGGACCCAAGGCCTTCCAGCGGCATTTTGCGGTAAGGAGTCCTGAGGCCTGTTCCACCAGAAAGGAAAACAAAGCATGGGAGGGAAAAATCTTTAAATGGGGAGAACCCATGGCCAGCTGCTTTGTGGAGTTAAGAGGGAAGAGGAAGGATGATTAGACAGTGTGTTTGGAGGTGTTGGAATATGGTGGGGTGCCCTGGGCCAGCAGCACATGCCTGTGCAGCCCTGGCGTCAGAGCTGAAGCCATTGCGGAGCTGGCATCCTGCTGGGCCTTACCCTGTGAACCTCTTGGTTGTAACATACATGGGCCAGACTGAAGCCATCACTCGGTATGTTCCCCAAAAGCAGTTAAGCTGAACAGTACGAAAGAGTGATTGTGAGAGGCAGTGTGTGCACCATTACACCCGTGTTGTTTACCATTCTTTCAAAGGGAGGAAATGAAGGCAGGAATGTGTATATTACTCTCTTAGCTTCTTTTTCTTCAGACTACATAATTCCATACAAATATTCCATACTTCTTTGAATTTTGTTTCTTTTTCTTCATTCCCTTTCTTTTGCCTTGGCTTTTTTTGCCTTCTCAATACTTATGTCTTACACTTTTCTCAGAGCTTTTCATGGTCCATTGATGGCATTAAAGGCTGAGATAGGGTCTACATCTGGTCCTGAGGTTACTGTGGGCTTCTGCATTGTGCATCTTACAGAAAGTAAAGCCATTTATGACATGAAGGATGACAGTGTTCATAGTAGCATTTTTTTTTTTTTTTTTTTGGCTGGGCAATGGGGTTAAGTGACAAGTGACTTGCCCAGGATCACACAGCTAGTAAGTGTTAATGTGTCTGAGGCTGGATTTGAACCCAGGTCTTCTTGAATCCGGGGCCGGTGCTCTATCCACTGCACCACCTAGCTGCCCATAAAACAAGTTGTTAATGAAAGGATTTACCATGGTCAGTAAAATAGCTTAAACTTCTTATTTTCAGCTATTTTTGCTGCTTAGAAGTTACTGTTCCAAGAAGGAAAAGGCTTCTAATAAGGAGAAAGAATGTTAGACTAAAAGTCAAGAGAATTGACTTGGTATTGAATTTTGATACTTATTTGCTGAGTAACCTTAAGCAAATCTCTTAACTTAATAGGCTTGCTATTTTCCATCTGTAAAATGGGGTTAATTATGATACCTGCATCCCCTGTCTCCCAGGATGGGTGTACAAAAGAGCACCATAGAAAAGTATACCTTTTTTTAAACATTGGTTCATATCTAACATAATCTTTATCATATTTTCTACTCTTTCATAGACCAACAGTGAAATGAACTTATTATTTACAGAGATGGTATTATTGGCCAGTCATCACTGAGATATACTTTGGATTATTTTTCTAGTAGTGGTAGTGGTTTGTGTCTAGCCAGCCATCCTCTCTCACCCACTTCTCCTTGAAATAACAGTATGTATTTTAAAATGACTAGTCAAAAGATTGATTAGAAAGGTTCACTAAAATCATAGAATGATGGAACTGAGAGATATGTAGTCTGACCACCATGTTTTACAGATGAGGAAACTTATTCCCAAAGGGGAAAGTTCTCTTTGCTGTAGTTGCACAGCTAGCTAGTTGTAGAGCGGGTACTTAGAGAACACTGTGCTGATTCCCTCTCTAGTACTCTGTTTGCTGCACCATGGTGTTGCCTACCGTTCTGTGGTCATGGCACCGTTATTGACAGCAAGATGGACTAGTGTGTAGAAGCTGGACCTTAACTGACTGACTAAATAGTACAACTCAGAAGAAAAGTGTTTGGGGCCAAATGGTGTAGTACTTTTTTTAATCAGCTGCTTCCTGTGGTGTTAATCACAGTCTTAACTGCTTTTAGGAAGAGTCTAATGAAGGGGGAGTTTCAAGATTTAGGGATGAAGTGAGAATAATGCTTTGTGTATAGTTGGTACCTGTTTCCCATCGTCCTTCTGACTTTCTTCCCTCCCAGGAGTGGCGTCATGCTCATGGCATGAGGTGCTTGGGCATTCCAAATACAGCCCACTTTGCTAATGTGACCCAGATTGAAGATGCTGTCTCTTGTAAGTAACCTTTAGTTCTAAGTATTAGGACAGACTTGAGTGCCCTCTCCGTTTATCCCTTACTACCCTTGGTACCAGTGGTGAATCAGCCCTCACAGAAAGCCCTCTGAAAGGTGGCACAGTCTGTCTCTTTTCCTGTCTTGCCAGGCTGGAAGTATAAAGGGTATCCATGCCAGGCCCTTCTCCCATTACCGATGGCCTATTCAATTTCCACACTGGAACAGTTTGCTCCTCCTTAGGTATCTTAACAACTTCTGGCTCCTGAGGATTCATATTAATGCCACACTTAGTGTGGACACATGACCAGTGTTAGCCCTCTTAGCTCAGCTGAGAAGGCCCACCAGCCTCAGCCTTCCCAGTGGCTGGAATTGCAGGCATGCATTAGTGTACCTGGCAAAATGGAGTGGTCTTCAGTATCTGACTAACAATGCCGTCAGCTTTCCTTCATTAATATGAACCCCACGATGATGTGGCCATATTCTTACCAAGGTTCCCCTCATTCTGCTCATCATCTAGTTCTTCCTTATCGTTTAACTCTAGGACACTTAACCTGTCATGCTCCGGGCTGCTCTCAAGGACTTGAGGTTGCACAGCAGGTGCCCATCCTGTGCCAATGAAATTAGAGCCAGGGAAGGGTGTAGGGGATAGGGAATAGGGATGTGACCTGCTTTACAGAGTTGAAAGGGCTTTGTCAGCCTTAAAATGCCACGTTAATGTCTACTGTTGTTATTTCCACTTGGAGTTCTAGTCCCGTGCAGCCCCTGGATGCTGTTAATACTAATTGCTGGTAATTATTTTGTAGTGTGGGCCAAATTGAAACTGCAGAAGGCTTCGGAACGATGGCAGCCTGACACTGAGGTAAGGGGCTGGTAGAGTTAGTCAAGGATGATACCAAGCAACAAAGACCTGCTTCTTTATCAGGGAGCTGTAGACATTGTCCCAGCCTTGCTGCATTGCAGCAGTGAGTCTCTGGTCATGGCCAGTGACGTCCTGGCAGTGGTCCAAATAGATTTGATGCTAAATACTTGTAGGAGTATGGTTTGTAATAGGATAATGAGCATCCTTTGGTTTCTGACGTGAATTAGAAATTTACGTGGGATATATCATAAACTCTCCACTGTCACCTTTCAAGTATCCCATTGTAGTAGGAGGTGACTCTTGTGTTTTCAGAGGCTGTGCTAGCCAGAATAAAAGCTCTGCCAAGTCCCATGAATCTGGAAAGGTTTCCAGTCAGGGCCTCATGGTGGGTAGGGCCCTCATGGTGGGTAGGCTCTGTATCTGACATCCAAAGACTAACCTAGAAACTTATCGCCAGAGGGGTAACCACCAAGGGCTGAATTTTTTGAACTGTAGCAACTCATAAAGACAGCTTCCTTAGTATTCTCCGATTGAGGGAGTGCCCACACCAATAAAATCATGAATTCTTGAAATGTGTCATAAAACCAGAAGTCACCCATGTGCCTTTCTTCAAAAATAGTGTCATCTTTCTATTAATTCTGGCGAGGATTTGTTAGGGGGGTGAGCAGCAGTTAGACAAGTCCTTTGCCTTACCAGAGTGAATCAGTAGCCACAAAAATTGAGAGTGGATGCCTTTCAGCAGGGGTTCTTCACTTTTTCTGTGTCCAGGACCCTTGGACAGTCCAGTGAAACCTTTGTTTTTAAAATACATAGGATTATGAATGAAATCAGTCACATTAAAAGTTAGGGAAGATATTCAGATAAACAAGTTGATGGAGGCCAAGTTAAGAACCCCTGCCCCAGGAGCTCTGAATACTTTTGCATGATCTGCCTTTGTTGGGGATATCTAATGACCAGCTGGCTCCTGTGCAGATGTGATTATCGATAACGAGACTGCCTCCCTTGTTTTGGAGGGGTGAAGATGGTTTGCAGAGGGAGTGCAGGTGTTAAGGCAAACACCAAGTGGTGGTTACTAGATTGGGGAGCAGCAGCCACCATGCTTTGCTCACGTACCTTAAGATTGCCCAGAAGTGACCCGAGGCCATTTCCAAACATCCAAATGCTTGTTTTCCCCAGGGCTAATAAACCACTTCCCTCTTTCTCCCCCGTTTTTTAGGAGGAGTATGAGGATTCCAGTGGAAATGTTGTGAATAAGAAAACATATGAGGACTTGAAACGCCAGGGACTGCTCTAGTGTCTTGAGGACGAGCTCGGTGACTGGCAGAGCATCCTAGGATTTGGCATTTTTTTATTCCACACAAGCACATGTTCCCAAAGACTGCTACATGACCTAACGTTCTACCATGTGTCTTGTGAAGACAAGAATTGCGGACATAGTGAAGATTTGAAATATGTTTAAATTTTCGTTTTATATTAAAAAGGTTCTGCAAAAAAAAAACACAAAAAAACTAGATTTGATTTGAATGTGGTGCGTCTGAAAGCCTCGTAGGGAATCCAGTTCTTCGGGCCATTAGTTCCTGTCACTTTCTGTGCCTAGTCTGGAAGGTCAGAGGTTGAAAAGAAGAAGGAACTCTGTCAGAATATCAGAAATCGACAGACTTCTCTATCGTTAATGTGAAGCCAACACAGAGCTGCCTCAGGGCCCTCCTCAGGGAACCACCAAGCACCATTGCTCTCCTCTCTTTCTCCTGTCCCTTTTCACTGGAGGACTTCTCTCCCGATGGCCCCTGGGGAGCCCCATGCTTAATTGTTGGAGCCCCAGCACCTGCTTTCTCATACGGGAGGAGCCTGTGATCTCTAACTCTGTGTTTTCAGTGCCCTCCTTATCTTCACAGTCAGTCAACATGCATTTAAGGTCCTGCTATGTGCTGGGCCTGGGGGATACAGGGACAAATGATGAAACGCTCTTCACACTCTTGACATGGGTCGGAATTTTCTTGTGGCTCCTCAGATCTTTTGCTCCTTATTTTTATTGTGTAGCTTTTTTTTTCGCTCAAAGAGCACTTCTCCCTGATGACCCAGAGAGAAAAAGGGTGTTCCTCCGGCCTCTGCCCCTCTTCTAGGAGGGTGGCCAGGCTACACCTTGAGGACAATTTGTGGTTCCTTGGCCACCACAGAAAGACAAACATGCCTTCTCTTCTGGATACCGAAATAGTCTCCTTGCCTTCCATTCTGGTAGGAAGTAAGATCTTTAGTCTGTAGTCCTCCCTCACTGTCATGGGAAGGTATTGTGATAGATGATCTCGGAAGACAGGTTGCTGTGGTAAACTGCCTGTCGGCCTTGCCGGCTCACCTCCCTAGAGGCTGAACCGTTCAGCAAAGAGTCTTCTTATCTTTCCTTCCAAGACCTGCTTTGGTTCAGTACCTAATGTACCTTGCATACAGCAGGCACTTGATAAATATGCCTTGAATTGTCTAGTTTCAGTCAGAGCTGCTACCTGCCAAATGCCTCTTCCCCATGATACCACATTAAACTCGGCCCTACGCCATCGTCCTTGGAAATTTGACCGTTGTCTACTCTTGTGGGCCCCGATTCTATCTATAAAATGGGGGTCAGAAAGGGAACAAGACTGGCCTGAATGATTTCTGAAGCCCTTCCTTTATCTAAAGCTCTGCTCCTCCTCCTCCTCTCTGGGTTTGAACCCCAACAGCTTTTATTAGCAATGTGATCTTGAGCCGTCTTCCTCCCAGGCATCAATATCCTCAAGTGTAAATTGAAGCAGGCAGAGGCGACCAACCCCTCAAGCCTCTTCTAGGTCTGTTTCCTCCAAGCTATGATCCCGAGTCTTCTCTCTCTGCTGTCCTTGGCGCCAGGAGCCTCTGGGACCTCTTCTGCCCTGGGTCTGGTTGTGTCCCACCCCTTCACTTAAAGGCTTGGCAATGGACAGCTGAGCCCTGCCCTCCGCCTCTGCGTGGGGCTTTCCCTCACCCGACATAGTAACAGCTGTCCTGTATACTCTGCTGTCAGGTTCCCATGGCATTTTATGTACTTTCTCAATTGATCCTTATGAAGTAGGTGGTACATTATTCATCCGTAATTTATAGATGAGGAATCTGAGGCTAAAGAGATTAATTGACCTTGCCCGTGATTAACCTAGTAAAGTGTCAACAGCCAGAAAGATTTGAACCCATTCAGTCTGACTTTTAGGCAGACCCGCAGATAGACACCCCTACCCAAACTTGCTGCCAAGACTGTTGTCTGTGCATTTGCCATGGCATTGGTCATCCAGAGAGGTGGGCATTGGCTTGGGTTACGCTACCAACACCCTCCATAGTTCTTAGGACCTCAGTGGAGGGGGGCTGTGTTTACAGGGCAAGGTGGTGAACAGGGCTGAGGATGCCACCTTGGGGTTTGGTACTATGTCTCAGGGAAGGGCCAGGGAGTATTGGGGTGGGGGCACCTGAGCGTTCCACAGGGTTGTCCCAGGAGATGCTTGAACCTGAACTGGGTTTCTGCAATCCCTTCCTTTGGTATAAATATGCCAAACTTCTGTTCTTGGTCTGATAGGGAGACAATACTCAAATAACAATGTACAAACAAGCTATTACATACATGGAAATTTAAAGATAATCGCAGAGGGAAGCCTCTCAAGTAAGACTGGGAGAGGCTTCTTGTTCAAAGTGAGCCATGAGCTGAAACTTGAAGGAAGCCACGAAAGAGAGTTCCAAGTATTGGGGGACAGCCAGGGAGAAGGTCCGGAGCTGGGAGATGGAGGGTCACGTCCAAGGAAGAGCGAGGGGGCCAGAGTCACTGGATCAAAGGACGGCGAGGGGAGTAAGGTGTTTGAAGACCGGAAAGGCAGGCAGGGGTCAGGTTGTGAAGGGTTGAGGGGTTTATATTTGATCTTGGAAAGCAATGGGGAACCACTGGAGTTAATTGAATGGGCTGGACAAATGGACAGAAACCAGAATCACACAGGGTGGACAGGCACAAGCTGCAGGGCCACAATCTGCTTTACTCATTTGAGTATTTAAGAAGAGCTGCTATTTCTATAGCTCTCTAGTATTGTAAGCTCTTCTATCACAATAACCTTGTGTAAGGTAGTGGATAGCTGGAAGGGCATTAGGAGTTGGAAGGAGTGATCAGAACGTGATGCTTGAGCTACAAGGTGAGAAGGAGAGTGAGCATTCCAGGCATGGGGCACACAAGACGAATGTAACACAGAAAAGGGCCATCGTGTGTAAGGGACAAAGGCCGGTTTGGCTGCAAGTGTGGGAAGGGGAGGAAGAGATAATGAAGCTGGAAAGATGGCTTGGGGCAGGTTGTGAAGGAGGAGTTTGTTTTCTCCAAGAGAGTCCCTTGAGATCAACCAGTAGGATAGTGACACGGTCAGATCTATACCTACGGAAAATCACCCACACTACTGTGTGGGGGATGGGCCGGAGTGGGGAAAGGATGGGGGCAGGGAGCCCGCTAATTCAAAGATGCTCCATGTGCCCTATTTTGAGGGAGTTCAGTCCTTATCCCTTGGGCTCCCTAGGACTCCCAAGGGCCACTTCTCACATAGTAATTTACAGACTAGTTCCTGCAGCTGTTGAAAACCTCAGTTGGACTACATGGTCTCTTGGGGCTCTAGGGTAGCATAGATGGATATTTAAGCTTAATTGAGCCATCGAGGAGGACTTGATTACTGTAATGAGCCACTGGGGCAATCAGTGCCAGGGAAAACCAAGGAGGTGATAAACTGGCAGGACGGTGGGGGGGTTTGGCTGGGTGGTGGAGGTGAAGGTCAAGACCCCTAATAGGTGCTAGGCATAGGCATGTAGTGGGAAGAGCACTCATTGGTCAGATCTGAGTCCTCACCTCTGGCACTCACTAGGGCTGTGTGACCCTGGGCAAGTCACTTCACCTCTGAGCCTTAGTTTCCTGGCTATAACCTCCACTTGCTACCTCTTAGAGTTCTGAGGAAAGCTTCTGGAAACCTTAAAGTACTATGTAAATGTTATTATAGGGAAGCCATGAGGTGTACCTGATAACTCACTCAAATTTCCAAGTTCCTTCCTTGGCCTTGGGGGGCCTGGGGCTCTTAGGTTTGTGTTGAGACCCAAGCCTCACTGCCTTCAAGTAAATCTTTAGAATTGGAGCCATCCAAAGGATGTATGGGCCCCTTCAGAAGGGAATGAGTTTCCTTTAAGCAGAGACTAGATGACCATTTGTCAGGGAGGCTATAAAGGGAATTCATATTCAAGTAAGATGAACTCTGAGGTTCTTTCTAACCCTTGGATTTTTATAAATGGGAAAACTGAAGTTCAGAGATAAGATCTGAATGAGACCCATGATTCCATTCTTGAATGATAGCTCAAATTTCTTATAGCACTTTCCTCAGACCAGCTCCTTGAAGTAGGGAGACAAATATTTTTCTCACTTTATGGATTAGGAAGTTAAGTTTCAGCCAAAGGAAGCAACTTGGGTTTGAATCTAGGTCTCCTGATGAAGGTCAGTCAATTTATTAAAGGTCTCCTATGTGCCAGGCTCCGAGCCAAGAGCCAGGGTTACAAAAAGAGTCAAAAGATAGTCCTTGCCCTGTTATATTTAGATTATACTGCCCTTTGGGGCAGCGAGGTGGCACAGTGGATAGAGCTCCAGCCTTGGAGTTAGGAGGACCTGAGTTCAAATTTGTCCTCAGACACTTGAAACTTACTAGCTGTGTGGCCCTGGGCAAGTCACTTAACCCCTGATTACCTATCGGAAAAAAAAAATAGATTATACTGGTTTTCTTGTAGTATGAGCTTAATGTCCTTCCCTTCTCTGCAGTTTATTACTGTTGTGGGTACTGCTGGTCCCACATGGGGCATGGCGGAGTTGCGTTTTTCCTTTATTTGGGCAGTGCTAGGCTGGCTTCCCAATCTAAGAGCCAGCATTTACAGAGCCCTTTAAGGTCTATGTGTTGCTTCCTTGGGTCCTCACAACTCCGGGAGGTAGATGCTATTATTATCATCCCCACCCTCTCCATTTTACAGATGAGAAGCCTGAGACATGGGAGGGTTAAGTGACTTGTGTGGTGAGGGAGCTACAGAGAGAATAAGCAGTTCTGTAGTGCCTATTTATTCCGGGCACTGTGCTGATCACTTTACAAATATCATTTGATCCTCACAATAACCCTGCAAGGTAGGTGCTGTTATTATTCCCACTTTACAGTTGAGGAAACTGAGGCAAACTGTGGCTAACTTGCCTAGGGTTACACAGTAACTGTCTCCGGCAGGTTTTGAACTTGGGTCTTCCTGATTCCATGTCCAGCGTACTCTTCACCGGGCCACTCAGTTGCTTACCCTACTTTAACAGCCGGGGAAGAGTATTGAAGATTGTCATGGTTATTCCTCCTCCAAGTGAGAGATCACCCAAAGGCCCCAGACAGATGCCTCTATTCACCCGCCATCTGATTCCTCATGTATCCTTTTTAAGGACAGGGTAGGAGGTTTGAGATTTTCCTCTTGGAAATTAATCCAAAATTCAGCTCCTGCTACTGTGGCAATGATTTTTGCAAAGCCAGAGGCAAAACCTGGGATTGAACCTCTCGGCCATGAGCCCTCCTCCCTATTCCCTGGATAGGCAGGCATTCCATTACTTCACTCCCTCCAGACTAAGTCTGTGCCCCCCATCTCAGACTCAAAGCCCCGGTATCTTTGGCTGATTCCTCCCACCCCCACCCCCACCCCTTTCCACTGGGATTGCTTTTGCTGGAAGAGTCAGTGAAGAGCTCAGACAAGAAAATAATGAGATGTGGGGACGGGAGAGGGTGAAGCTCCAGGGCTGTTCTGCCTAGGACTCTTCTACCTGGGTCTCCCTGTCCCAGCCTTGCCCTCTTACCTACCTCTAGGTCAGTTGGTCAGTCAACAAGCATTAAGTGCCTACTGTGTGCCAGGCACTATGTACTTTGCTAGGCATACATAGGAAGTAAAAAACAATCTCTAGCCTCAGTCCTCTGACTGGGATCTTAATGTCCCCCATCATTCAGGCAAGAAAGAACAATAACAAATTTCTATGGCATTTTAAGGTTTACAAAACATTTTCTTCACAACCCTGTGTGGTGGGTATTCTTTACGCTATTACCTGGCGGTAACGGCAGTTCCTTCTTCCCCTTCCTTCCTCCCCTCCCCACCACCCATCATCATTTAACCTCCAGCATCAGGCATCCTGAGTGTTGCCTTGTCTTTCCAATATGCATAGTGTTGGGGAGCTCAACCCATAATCCAGAGTAGGAGCCCCTAAACAGGGAAGGAACAGCCAAATCTCTGTCCTGTAAGTGCCCTAGCTGTGCTTGGGAGGGGTGGGGAGATTGCACTGACCTCTGTGACAGATCTCACTGCTGATCTGAGGAGTCCATTAAGCTGCTGCAGGGGCTTGGAATCTGGTTACCCCCCGGGAAGCTAAGGGTTTGTGTCCTCTGGGCGGTTGGGGAGAGAACCTTCCCCATTGGTACTACTTAGGGGATGGGAGCAGAAGTAATTCTTGGCCTGAGGCTGT